TCTCCAAGTTCTACTTGTTCTCCAAGTCATTGTAATCCTATATATACTCTGTATTATTCATGGAATAAGAGAACACAATTCCTTCTCTCTTTCTCTTATTCATAACAAAACATACCCTTTTTTCGAAAGGAAACATACTTTTATTTGCAATTCATGAGGACTAAATTTTAGAGATGGTTGAATTTATTCTATTTTCAAAAACTATTGGAAAAAATATCTTTCTAATATGCATTTCCTTGTTATTTTTGTCTTTGTAGATAAAAGTCCTTGTTTATTGTCGACAAACAAAAACAAAAGTTCTTGTTAATTGAGTTAAGGGAATTGCATGTATATATATATACAGTAGTAATAATTGTCAAGTGATACTTATAATAAAAATTGAATATTATAAAAAATTCCAATTTATTTATTCAAGTATAATTTTTTTTACAGCCAACTTATAATTTATTTACGATTATTTATGAATACAATTACTATTATTATTTTTTAAATTATGAATACAAATTACAGTAATCTTATATACATATTAGTAATAAAATCATTTATTGGAGCAAGAAAAATATTAGAAACTTTCATTCAACTAAAAATACAGTTTATCTCATCATTACATGACTTTTTTATAATTGAAACTAAATCTCATAATTAACATCGTTTTTTATTGATGTAAATTTTATATCATTTTTTAAATGATATTAATAAGTACATTAGTTAAATAACCGATGTAAATGAATATTTTTGTATCAAAATTTTTAAAATGATGTAAATTAATAGAAATTTGTATTATTTTTATTGAACTGATGTAAAACAAGTCAACAACCACATCAATATAATAGATAATATATTTTTACATTATTTATTAATAAGTAATTCAAATCAATGCAACAAGCATGATTTTTTGTAGTGATGATTTCGGCATAAATTGATCTGGCTCGGTATGGTGGTATTCCACTAGTTGATGCATCAACGAGGCCAAGTGACGTCCCAGATTCGTGGGGCAATAAAAGCTACAAGATCTAACGGCTAATAACAGAGTCGTACCATCCTAAAAAACTATTCTCTTGGTAAAAAGTAAACATAATCAACGGTCAATAAGCCCATATGCTCAGAACCAGTATGATCCAACGGATATGCAGACGCAGTGCAAAGATGCTTCAGTTACACCTGATTATGACTCAATCACCACCACTGGCGAGTGACGACCTGCGATAAAAGGGCAACAAAAACGCTCTTTTCAAAGCTCGCGTCTTTTCACCATAAGAGAAAATCATTCTTTCTTTGCTTCGCCTCTCATCTTATTGAGAAAAAGGCGGAGTCTTTGCTTCCAGATTTTGAGCTCAGCCATCATTTCGTAGGGTAAGAATCGTTTCTCGTTTCTCTCGGTTCTTATTCGCTTTTATAATCTCATCGTCTCTCTCGATTCCTTGTTATTCGTGTTTCAACGATCTCTGGTTTTTTTTTTCTTCCTTTCTTAGATCTTTAAAGGTAAAATGAGATGTTTCGTCGTGTAGATTTGTTTGTTCTGTGGATGATTTGATGATATTGCTTCCCTGTATTCCGACGATCGGGAATGTATATTGCTCTTAGACGAATCTTACATGTTACTGTTCTATAGATCTGCGTTGTTGTCGTGCGTTTCTTTGATCTTCTGTCTTTTTATTACCTGAAATGTATTGGATTATGTTTCAGTTTTGTTCTTAAAATTTTGCAAGTTTTTTTGCCTTCCTTGATCATCTTCCAGGGTAAACTTTGGTTCAATGTTTAAAGTTTTTGCTTCGAAATTGTTATATGCTCGTCGGGATTGCTTACATTCTAAATTCTCATTTTGTGATTTTGCAGAGTTCAAAATGGTTGATCAGGTTCAGCACCCCACTATTGCGCAGAAAGCTGCTGGTCAGTTCATGCGATCGAGTGTTTCCAACGATGTCCAAGTGGGTTACAAGAGGCCTTCTATGTACCAAAGACATGGAACCTATGGAAACTACTCCAATGCTGCATTTCAATTTCCTCTTAACACAGCCCGGGTTATGGCAACAACTGCTTCTCCTGTGTTTGTCCAAGCTCCAGGAGAGAAAGGGTTCACTAACTTTGCTCTTGACTTTCTGATGGGTGGTGTTTCTGCTGCCGTCTCAAAGACTGCTGCTGCTCCTATTGAGCGTGTTAAGCTTTTGATTCAGAACCAAGATGAGATGATTAAAGCTGGTAGGCTCTCTGAGCCCTACAAGGGTATTGGTGACTGTTTCGGTAGGACTGTAAAGGATGAAGGGTTTGGATCTCTATGGAGAGGAAACACCGCCAATGTCATCCGTTACTTCCCCACTCAGGTTGGTTGAGTTTCCATACTCCCTTTGTTTTTAGTGGTTTTGAAACATAATAATTCTGTGTTAATCTCCTTTTTGTTGTTGTTGTTCCATGCTAGGCCTTGAACATGAAACCAGAGAAAAGTAGATTCATTCATCAAAGTTGCCTGCCAACACCAAAGGAAACATGCATACCCAATAAAATGATAGTAGTATTACCAAAACAACACAAGCTTTCCAAATAAAAATGATATTACCAAACAGTGGCGCATTCATCAGACTGTGACAGCAAGAACTTTGACCAATTCAGATGAAGGGCCTCTGAGCACATGATCACACCACTCAACTATCCCCCAAATTTCACAGTTTTTCAAGCGCAATCTTCGCAAACCAAATCAGCCATCTTCATAGGGAATAAACCATAATAATTAGGCAATTCCTCGTCCCAGAAAACAGCCATTTTTGCACCATAATCCGCCAATCTAACACAAGTACGACGAGGGAACTTAGGTAGTCCTACCAAACCCTTCAACTCTCTCCACATGCTTACCTCTCACTGTCATACCAACTGAAAACTCCGTCAAAAGCAGAAGCAGAGTATAAAACATCCTCTATCTCGCAATAAGAATCTTCCCACAACAAAGGAGGCATCCCTGCTATTCCCTGCCCTCCTTCTTCTACCACGTCCCATTTCCCTTCCTTGGAATTGTAAGCAACCACCCTTTGGTCAGGGGAAGTTACCAAGTGGAACTTTCCATTAATACACACGGTTCGGTCGTAATTGATGCCTTTTCTGACGCTGTAAGGGATGGGCTCAGGATCCCCAATTTGCGTTTCTGTGTCGAACACCTGGATCGAGTTCTTCAATGACTTGGTATTGCCATCTTTCCAGCGGTCTGC